GGAGTGCACGGAAGGGAAGGACACAGGGACAAGGTAACTGTGGGGAGGAAGTGGGAGGAGAACTGTTACATTGTGGTAAATTGCAATCAACGTCATGAGACAAAGTGTATGTGAACTGCTGTATGGAAAATCAATTTGCTCTGTAGACTTTCACCAAATCACAATTAAAATACATATATATATATATTGCAGACTACAAATCCTGAGAAAGTGTTCCTTGTGGTACACCTTGAAGAGAACATCAGCAGTTGCAGAAAAGACTCAAATGCCCACCTAGATCTCTCTTCCCTATCCTTCACAATGAACAAAAAACCCTTAAATCCCTGGGGATTTAAGTGCTGTCCTTAGGGCCTAGAAGGAGACAATTAAAAACTTCTCCCACTGGGCTGGGAGGTGGACCTACAGCTAGGAGATCAGGGTCTCTGAGAAGGCCCCATGCCTGAGATTCAGGAAGACAGTGCCTGAGGCATAATCAGGACGCGCGTGCGCGCGCGCACACACACACACACACACACACACACACACACATACACACTGACAGCTAAAAACCAAAACCAAATCCACTGCCATCAAGATGATTCTGACTCCTAGGTGACCCTATAAAAGAGTAGAAACTGCCCCATAGGGTTTCCAAGGCTGGCTGTCTTTATAGAAGCCTCATCTTTCTCCCACAGACCAGCAGCTGGTGAGTTTGGACTGCCAACTTTTTGGTTAGCAGCCAAATACTTTAACCACTGCACCACCAGAACTCCTACATACATAGCTAGCAACCGAGGGTTGACTAGACATTAAGGAAAAACTCTGAACAAACTAGACTCGCCACTGATTGTGGTAGTGGTTAACATAATTACGTATTTTCCATAACTTACAGAACTGTACATAAAAAATTTTACTGTATGTATATTATACCTTAATTTAAAAATGAAAACAAAAACCACCAAAAAATTAGGAAAAGAGAATTTATTATCAGTTTCTCCTGTGGGACCAAGTTTCTTTTGTTTGCTTACATCTACACCTAGGGTCAGCACTATGGCCCACAAGCCAAATCCAGTCCATTGCCTACTTTTGTAAATAAAATTTTATTGGACAGCCATGCCCACTAGTTTACATATTGTCTATGACTGCTTTCATGCTACCACAGCAGAGTGGCACAGTCAACGACAAAAACTATATGGCTCACAAAGCCTAAAATATTTACTATCTGCCTTTTCAGAAAAGCTCGCCAGTGAAATACAGTCATAATTTGATTTCTAATGCTGTCATCTAGGCTCCTGACTGCATGATAGAGACACAGATGGCATGATATGGCCTCTGATCTTGCTTATAGTAATGTCTTCCAGAAGTTTTATTTATACCCAAGAAGTTTAGGCATTTTTCAAATATTATTCCTCACAAACTCTTAGGGTACACTTATATGGGAAGTTATTACTCATGCTTCAGGGAGATGGAAATGTAATCCCAGGAAGATTTACTAAATTATCCCAAGTTACACAGTTATTTAGTAGGATAACCACAACATTATTTCTAACTTTGCTAAGGTCTATAGAATAAGAAAGGAAGCTCTGGTGACACAGTGCTTAAGACATCTGACCACTAACCACAAGGTTGGCGGTTCAAACCCACCAGCTACTCCTCGGAAGGCAGACTGAGCAACCTACTTCGTAGAGAAATCGCTTTGGAAACCCAAGGAAGGGTCACTATGAGTTGGGACTTGACGGAAGTGAGTTTGGTTGGTTTTTGGTATAGAACAGGATACAGTATTTCTATCTTTGTTAAGGTCTGTGTCAATTTCATAATGAAAAGGAAATCATGCTCTGTAGGGAAATCATGCTGAGTTTCAAAAGTATTCAAAAAAGGTGCCCTTACCATAGTCACAGGGGACATCAAGCTCAATTGGCATAACATACTATACAAAACATTGTTCCACCTTCTACTTTGGCGAGTAGCAACT